AAAATATGTAGGAAGTGAACGTCACTGACTTCTGTCCTATTACTTTCCTTCAATCATCGCTTTTTCATATTTTTCTTTTAATGTTAATATATAAGATTTTTGGTTATTGTTTTCAAGTAACAGATTAAAATAAAAGTCATAAGTATAAATATCTCTTTATTTGCATAAGTCACTCTATATTGGTGTTCTTGGAACTCAGTAAATTTGGTCTATATCTAGGAGTAGTTGTTTTGTCTGTAATGATAAATGATAAAATCAAAAGTATCTATTTTTAAATTTCTTTGATACGAGATTGGTTACTTGGGCATTATTAGACAGTATGTGATATATATATATATATATATACTCAGGGATATACTTCTTGCTAATATTATCTAGCTCAGACAATTTATTTTCATATTACTAGTGTTTAAGAATGTGTCACACTTGATGGATGACGGACTTTACCAAACCCAGGGAAAGAGTCGAGCCAATATTTAAACTTTGTAAATATATGAAGAGCTAACATTATAACTATTTTCAAGAGGCCATCTTCTTGTTGACAACACAAAGTCTCCCTAAGAAGTTATAGAGGTCCACATATATAAAGAACTTTTCACAAGTGTAAGCCGCTTCTTCATAGGTATTTTATTCGTTTCTTCTAAAGAACTGACGATGTTTGACAGTCTTTTACTTAAAGAGTGAAAGAAAGATGAAATCAATTTTTAAGTTTTCTGTAATTATAATAATTTAATACTATTTTTAAATAACTTTAGTCACAAGTGTGTCACAAGTGTGTCACAAGTGTATAGTGGAGTTTTAAGTAACTATCTATTCTCAGACTGAGATCTTGATCAAATTTATGCCCATATCAAATGGCCAGATACAAAACATAGTGGTTAATTGTGTAAATCCATTGAACATGGAGCCCTCTGTGTATCCTTAAGTCTAACCATGTTTTTCAAAGTATAGTGTTTACAAAACAAAAGGAAAGGCCAAATACTTATTACTTCGGCAAGAGACATGACTACAGCCAGCATTTTATGTAAATTAAACATAAGATGTAGGATTACTCCCTCAGTAATTTGATCATGTATAATTTATATATTTGTATTTATAAAAAAAGGATATTTGATTTGTTTTTATTACATTGAGCTTTACTGATGTTAAATAAAATAAGGTATCTAATTTCTGCCAAAGACGTCGTGAGTACAATTTCAGAGCATCATCATCATCAGATACATAGGCATAGGCCTCTCCCATTTCACGCCACTTATATCGATTTTGGGCGTCTCGAGCATCGAAGGGATTTAATTATATGATTAGTCTAGTACTTAACTATTTTACTTTAAATAAATGTTTTACAAAGGAAATTGCTAAATGTTTTTACTAAAACGCGCAGGGTGTACGATTTTATTATTTATACCTTAAAGATACAACAATAATTTTGGATGAGTTACATACACTCGGTTCCAAAAATTACGGGTCAGTCACAAAAATTGAAATACCTCCAGAACTGTAAAATTTAGATCAATGAAATAAAAAACAGAATAAAGACATTTTAGTTGCGCTTCTAATAGCATATTATTTAAACTGGTTGATGAAAAAAACTTCATTATTATTATTATTAGCTCAAACAAGCACTGGTGGAGGAATGGGAAGGTATTCCTCAGCACCGGCCCCGAAATTTGGTGTACAGCACGCCTAATCGCCTGGAAGCTTTCAGAAGAACTCGTGCAGGCAAAACAAAGTATTAAATGAAGAAAGTGATGAAAAACAGCAAAAAAACAATCATAAAAAAAAATTATCTTAAGAAAAATATGACTACTTTAGTTTTTTTTTAATTTAGAGATAAGTTAAGAGTTAGAGAGTTTAGATTTAAGTTTTATTTTATTTTTAATCTGTGTAATTAAATTCTCAATTGAACAGTCTTCGTTTCATTAGGATGGCATACGTAGTGCGGGAGATATTCGGGTTTATGTGACTGACCCGTTATTTTTGGAACCGAGTTTATATTAATATAAGTAGTATAGTCATAAAGTTCAATTCTTCGACAAAGTGTCTGATGTCTTTGATCTCTATATACGGGTATTTGTGGTTTACCCCCTGTCTTTATTAAAAGTTAATTTATTTTCTTCTTTAATAAAATTTATTAATCATAGGTTAGGTATCAATTAACAATTTAACTTTTAATGAAAAATCGCTTAATTTAAAAAAAAAACCATAGTTAGGGTTCTAGGGCTTTTTTGGTTTTTACACTTGTACTTAGACTACTAGACTAGAAAACAGATAAACATGATAATTTATTAAATATTTTTAGACTATTGTAACATTTTGAATGGGTACTAAAAAACGTGTTTCTTTTTTATCATAGTACTACAACTTACTAAATATATTTTCCTAAGATTTATTAGTTTTAAATTACACCACAATAGTGTTGTCAATTGAATTAAAGTCACTTCCAACATTTGTTGAGCGACTCCTTTGGCGGCTTTTTATTTTAGAGATGATTATCAGGTGTGAATTGGAGAACCAAAGATGGAGTACAGTCGTAAAATCAAAAATGTAGGCAGGAATGACTTTTGTTTTATCACAATGTTCATGGACGTAGCAGGTAGATTATTTTTAGAATGGCCTATGCTAGAATTCGAAGTGTATAAAAGTGATTAATCGTCAAAAGCCGTACTAAGTGTATTTTTTGTTCCCTTTGCTCATAGATTTTTATCAAACTTTTTAAGTCAAAATTATTAAGTCTCAAGGATAACCTCGTCTTTTATGGACTTTTTTTTTAAAAACCAAGTACAAAGTACAGGGTATAACGTTCTTAAATTTTTAAGTCTGTTGCTAGGTTATTTGAGACTCGGAAGTATCTTTTCAAATAGCATGAGTTTATTCGATAGAGCACATGCTAAACCGTGGATTTCTATATGTATCTCTATTTCAGAGGCATGTAAAAATTGCCAGGATGCAGATGGTGCCGCCAAAATATAAAACACTGAAGATTATAATACTTTTATCGTCTAAATTTTTAATACTTTATATATAAAAATATGCATATATCTTGGTTTCGTTCGTTATATATACATCTTTATTTTGATACAATGAGACTATGTTTAGGGACGCAAGGAATTTTGTATTTTAGTGGCAAACTGGTACTTTTCAACTCTTAATAGTAAATCGAATAAGTTTGAAGACCGGATGGCGTAGTGGTTTGTGTAACTGTGCAAAAAATATGTATGTATTTACAAAAAAAAGGATATATGTATTTATATCAGTTGTCCTAGTACCCATAGTACAAGCTCTGCTTAGTTTGGGACTAGATGGCGTTGCGTGAATTAAAAAAAACCTTGTTAGTTAGACAGATTTTTAACCGGCTTCAAAAAAGAGGAGCTTCTCGTTCGTTTTTTTTTCTATGACTAGTTCTGAACGCCGTTACTTATAAACTGCTTCTGAAAACTTTTTTTTTTATTTCGGAGGATATGCTTTCCATTAGGTTCAAATGTGAAGATAAAATATCACTCCTTAGAGTAGAAAGTTAAGAAATAAAGACTACAGCTTATAACGATCATCATGATGTGCTATCATCATCGTATTTAGGATATATTACTTTCTTAGATAGGTCTCATAATAACACAATGCCAATATCCCAATAGGTCTGTTAATACAATCCGCCTTCCGGATAGTGTAGCTCCTCAACGGCTAGTACTAAATCACTTGAGTTAGGACTACTCTCATTTGTTTTAACGAATCACGTAAATCAAACTTATTGATTAGTGTCTAACAAGGGAGATGGGAAGTGGATAGTGTAATCCTTTGATGGCTTTTTTATTATTTCCCAATTTATTTCAGCGTATTTCGATAGTTACGAATTATTTTTCAGACATAAAATATTTGTATCGTGGCCGTTTTGTGTGCAAAAGTAAACTCTTTGTTTAAAGTATATCAAATGGAATAATAATATGAAAAATGGTGTTTATATGTAAAATAAATGAGTTCATACTCATTTAATTTTATTTATCGCTTTGATTTTAATAGTGTCGAGTTTAATGAAACCTGGCACTCCTTGCAAGACTCGTATTGTGTCTCAGACTCGACTGTAACTAACTATATTTAGACTAAAACTAAAATAAAATTTGAACGTTTGGACCAGTATTTTTTTTTAATTTTTAATTGCCTTTTCCAATTTTTTGTTTGTACAAAAATAGTGATAGTATCCCCATTCTCAAGTGATGGCCTTATTTGTTATTATTTAATTTTACAAAATTGAATTTATTTTGATTAAAGATCCGTATGTAGTTCTAACAATAAACACTAGTGTTTTAATGTCGGTCTGTCTGTCATAAAATCTTGAAAAAAAAGACTGATACGGTAACTTTGCACGTAAAGTGGGGATAATTTTATTTTCTTTACCCCATGTCGTAGTCTTGAATAAAATGAATATCATTAAACTGTTCTATCAAAAATATATGGAGGTTGATGACTATTTTTCGATTCTGTGATCAATAGATGCATTTGTTGCTTGTTTTAAACATATAACTATAGACTAGGTAAGAGTAAAACATTAATAATTACTGGGAACTCAGGAATGTGATCATCCAAATAATAACTGTTTTTGGACACAATGCGTCACTTTAGTCCAAAATGTATTCGTAGAATCAGTGGGCGGAGGCGACGTCTACCGTGAGAAAACATATCCCAAAATTATACGACTCTGCGTTTATAACTGACAGGAAATGGGTTCTGTTTTCAACACAATTAATGCTATCCTTTGTTTTTATTTTAATGATCGGGCATTTACTTAAATTGTAGTCAGCGGTCCGTCTGTCCATCCGCTTTGATGCCTGACGTACAGGCGTGAAAAAATTAACCTTTCAAAGCTTCCATAACACGGTATAAACCCTTATCCTTACTATTATTTTGTTTATAAGGCTGCCCAATAAACTATATAATGTTTTGTTTACGACTTTCAGATTAGAATTCTGTTGTACGTTTAAACTAAAGTAGAACATGATAGTAGCGAGATGAGCCGAAATCACCAATCAACTGGCTCAGATAAGCCCTTCGGAAGATATATTATAATGAAGACAAGGTCGGTTACAGATAAAAACAAAATTCGGGCTCGGGAACAAGGGTCCGATCCTTCGGGAGATGTCGCGCTCTCGGAGACGATCAAGTACATCGAGACCACCGGCGACGTGCCCCAACACTGGACAAGCCACGACAAATTTATTGACACTCTTCCAATTAAACCTATTGTTGCCTTGAACAGACACAGCGGTCATAACAGAATACAACACGATAACTCGCCGCGTGTATTCGTAATGTGTTCCCATATCGACCGCTGCCCGTTCCGAACGCCGTAAAAGGAGATTTATTAAAACTATTTGGAAACTGATTCGATCGAAACCGAACGATTTGACATTTAGATAAAGAGTAAAATTTATTTTTCCCTCGGATACGTTGCTCCGGCGGAGTGACAATGGAATAAAAAGGTTATAAAATGCGACGGTTGCGGCCTCTCTCGCCCACGTCCCCCGGGTGTTGACGGCTGTTCATATGCGGCACTGCATATCTGGCGCGGGACGAGCCGCAGCTGCCACGCCGCGAGATAAAATGCGACAAGTGCATTATTACGATCCACCACAGAATGCTGAGCGCCAACACTCGCAAGCACGTGTAAATTTTCAATGTGAGAACATGCTAGATAAGAATACGGGCGTGGGCGCACGGAAAATTCACGGCGGCGCGGCGCCGAGAGATTCGCCGATGGCACTACTGCCACGAGCTCACCTCACGCGCCGTCGCATATTTTTTATGTAAACTGATGTAACTGTAATAATAGGGTTCAAAGACGTACTTTAGTGACCGTTTATCATTCGACGAATAACGGTTGTATAATATTATGTTGAATATGTGTGTTTTGTGACGTTAACAATAATTGAACATTATTTTTATAGCTGTGACACGGCATTAATATAATGATGCATAAAACGTTGTATTGTAAATAAGTTATTCTTGTTTATCGCTATTGTTTATTATTAAAACTAGGCATAAACTATCATCAAATTAAAATTATACCTACTATATTTTTGTATGTTTTAACATTAATATTACCTTAACAAGCCCTAGATATATAAATAATAAATTATTATAATTTTATACCTTTTCCGTTATATTTTGGAGCAGTAGTAAGATCATTCTCAGAGCTATAAATTCATAATAGGAAATAAAACGTAGGCAATATTAATGTCATAAAGGCACTCCCACACTACTTCAAGATGCTTCTTATCGATATGCAAGCTTAGATAATAAAAATAATCATAATAAAATAACCCGTCTTTGTTGGAAAGGTATTATCATTTCTAGAGACTTTTTGAAATGTAATTGTTTTCATACTAGTGGTAGATCAGTGTGTCGAAGATAATCTCCTAGGGGACGTGACAGAAGAATGAAGTGTTTTTTGCTGACGCATTGTTTTGGGACTTAAATGACACACGACGTGCTATGTTCCTAGAATCGAGACTTGCTTGACATTGACTTTGTGTTAACTCAGACGGGTGAACGGGTTCGAGACTCAGGACCTGCCGTCTGAGAACACTCCATTTATTTATTTCTTTTTTTCAAAAGGCAACTATGCACGAAGGAATACTCGTAGGACCGTACGAAGTGCAATAATGTATTTTGTAAATTGTATTCAATTTATTTAAAACAAAAATTAAGTATTTGAATAAATAATAAACAGGTATCATTTATGTAGTAGAACTGAAAAAAAAGTTAGGTTTTTTGATTAATATCTTTTGGAGTGAATTCATAGTTCATTAATAGTTTTATGAGGTAAACTCATAAAACTATGAATTCACTCCAAAATATATCAATCGATGGGAATTAGTATTTTTTGTAAACTGTCTTACTGCTTGGACCTCCTTTCAAACTATATAGGTACTCGCGCGCGGACTAGTCAAATTATCAAAAACTTTATTTATCTCTAGATATCATATAATCGATTTATTTATCGATCTTTCCTATTTGTGCAAAATAGGAATTTCAATAGTAAAATCTCCACCACACTAACCTTATTAAGGTCGAGATGAAAGAAAGTCACATCAAACCTTTAAACCAGCCCCTTAAAGGCACCGTGGGAGCCCTTTACTCCAGCAGTAGACGTCATATGGTTAAGACGGTGATGATGATGAAGTATCTTCATCGTCATCATCAACAGCCTTTAATAGTCCACTGTTGGACCTAGGCCGCTCCTTAGAAAGAGGTTTTGGTCTACTATATTGCTGGCCAGACGGTTTTCAGTGCTGGCCTTCTCTTTGCAGTGCTGTTGTCCTGCGTAGTTGCGTAGCTTCTTTAGTCGGATAAATAGGGGTGACACTCCGTATTCTTAATCAGTCACCATATGAACAAGTAATTTGTTGACTTTTAACAAGTAAAGTAAAGTACCAGTTTTTTCACCTGTGAAAGGTTTAATTGCTATAATAATAATAATAATAAATATTTATTTGCTTCAAACATGTGTAGTTTACAGGAAATGAATCCTAAACAGTTCAATAGGTTAGTTGTTGTGTATCAACATGTTTTGGCTTGGACGGCTTACAAATATAAATCGATTGAGGGTATATTTTGACAATAGAAATTAAATTAGTTTCATGAATAACACAATAATCATCAATACAAGAATTTAATTTTATGAGCTAGAAATGTTTGCTATAAAAATGACAAAAATAAGAAAATAAAATAGAATGTCAGAATTAAATGTCAAAATGAAAAAATAAAAAAATCTATAAAATGTATGTATGTCAAGATAAATAGATAAAACCTTGTAAAGAATAATTAAGAGATCATTTAAGTGGTCATTAATAATAGGTCTTTACCTATGAAATTGCCGTTTTGTATGCAATAAGTGAAAGTACTTATTTTTTCAAACTTTTTTATTTCTGTTATTCGAAGTAATCACCCATGCAATCGACGCATCTTTGCCAACGCATTGGCAGTTTATTGATGTCTTTCTTGTAAAAATCAGCTAGACGGGAGGCAACAAACTCTTCAAAGGCATTTTGTACTGCCTTTCGGGAATTGAATTTTTTACCCACTAAAAAGTTGTCTAAATATTGGAAAAAGTAATATTCAATTTTTGCAGCAATTTTCTTCTTTGCCCGATGACTTGCAAATAAACATGTTTATCCTTAAGCGTAGCATACCCAATAAAATACACTTTTATCTTTTTTAAGGTAAGTTGGTACATCTGAATAAGTTTTTGTAGGAAAGAGGTAATAAACTTGTCCCTCATAGTTAGCCAAATTCAGGCATAACCTAATCTAATTTACAAGGTATTTTAAGATATTATGTGATGACATAGACAAATAGAACAAATAGAACGCGTAGAAAGCTTCAAATATTTAGGTAGCCAAAAAACACAAGATACTAGATGTTCCCCAGACATAATAGAGAGACTCGCAATCGCCAAACAAGCCTTCAATCGCAAGAAACACTTGTTCAAAGCCAAGTTCGAAAGAAGAAACAGCTCATCAAGACATTTATATGGAGTATTGCACTTTATGACTACGAAACGTGGACGCTGACTCAAAGAGACAGAGGTAGGTTAGCAGCATTTGAAATGTGGTGCTGCAGGCGAATAATGAACATTAGTTGGATGGACAAAAGAACCAATGAGGAGATTCTGCTAATGGTGAGCGACGAGAGGCGATTATTGAATGTCATTGAAAAAAGAAGAGGCAAAATGGTTGGCGACCGGATAAGACACGACAACTTAAATAGAAGGCAAGAGAAAACGAGGACAGCCTAGATCAACATACATACAGCAAGTGGAGGAGAAAGAAGGAGTCATACCCTATTAGGAGGTCAAACAGATCACAGAAAATAGAGACAAGTGGTGATTGCTAAACCGGCAAGTGCTTGGGTCTTAAGTTAAGAGAGAGAGAAATGTGATGAAATGTCAACAAGATATAAAAAAAAAAATAAGAAGGAAATAAGAATGAAAAATAAGAATGAACAGTTTCTATGTATATGAAGATACACTATGAACAATCTCTCTATGCGCACCTTTTTTAAACAACGAACACTTCGACTAGAATTATTAAGCCAATTGCTTCGATATATTTTACCTGTTAATACTGAGTAGGAGAGTCATTTAAAGTCCTAAATAAAGGCTTGATATATCCAAAGATAAAGTTTTTAGTAAAAAAAAAAAAAAAGTTTAATATTGAATTCAACTTGAAAGGGAACATATATTGTTATATGATCTCTTTTAAATCTGATATCTTTAGATATCCTGCTAATTATTTATAAGTTTTTATAAAATTTCCAACACAAGACTTTAAGACCTAAGTAAGTACCTAAGATGCTAGTTTACGACAATTCTCAACACCAAGTTAGAGTTATAGCACTCATAGCTATAACTCAGTTTTACGAACCCCCTTTCAGATAACACAACGTGTATTGAAAGTTCCACCATAACTATGAAGTAACTATATTATTAGAAATGGAATCGCTTACACATTTTATAAAATCAGATACATGATATTGCCCGTTCAAATTTACTTCCAGATAACTTTGGTCATTCACTCATCAAATCTGTTATTTCATAATTCTAAACAATTTCTAGCATTACAAAAAAAAATACTGGTGAGTTTTTCCTACCTACTGTTATGTATAAGCAGTATTTTAGGATGTTACTACCGATTTATAATCAATCATTGCTTCAGATCTTAGAATAAAATGGATTGAAATAGTTATAACTGCTGTTAAACTGATTCTGGTCATGTCTTCAACGATATTCTTGATTCCCATTTATAACTTTTAAATTTATTTTTGTCTATTTCTATATTTATAAAATGGATATTTTGTAGAAACAGACATTTCAATTTAATATTTTGTACTCACCCCGATTTTAGACACTTTTCTTCAAATTGTTTTAACAATATAATTATATCAACTGTCATTTAAAAGTATCTAATCTAATAGAATTTCGATGTAAAGTTATAAGACACTATGATGGTAACGGATTGATTACTATTAAAAAATAAACCAAATCTACTAATAAATCTGTACAAGTTCCTGAAAGAATAGAAATGTTTTAGACTACAAAGTGAATTTTGGAAACCTAATTAGCTCTAAATTAGTTAGGATAACAAGACATTAGCACAGTGTAGATACCCGAACTGGCAGACAGTTGTATCAAAACATTTGGAGTCCTAAGGAAATATCACCTTCATTAACTTAAACTAATATTTTGCTTTGAAAGGAGCTGTCGGTTTATCTGGCTGTGAAATTCGTTTTATTTGTCTATCTTACGAGATGTTATAAAGCTATGAGAAATTCTTAACAAAGGTTTATTGCTTCAATAACGAACTTTATGACTTTCATTGCGGTTGAACACGTGTCAAAAGTGTAGCAAATAACTTTACACGAGATGAGACGTTCTTAGTGATAAAATTAAAAGTGAAATAAATGTTGATGTCCCTGTCAACCTTTAAAGTACTTCAAAGAAATTATATGACATCAGCAAACAAGGTTAATGAAAAAATAAGCGGCTTATATTTTACACGAACCATTGAATTGAGTCACCCGTTTAGAGTGATATTTCTTTACAAGTATTTATATTTATTTGTATACAATATTTATATTCAGAATGATAAGCTTAAAGCGACATAAACAATATGTAAAGAAGTTATGTGTAAGCTTAATTTTATTGTTTTAAACTTTACAATATGTCGTTGAAAGTTCCACGATAATAATAATGGTGCTTTCCAACAAGATAGAAAGAAGGGGATGTGGTAGTCGTAAAATCGTACGGC